AGAATGAATTTATTTAACATGAAAAGATCTAATGGTTTCATTTGAAAGATATTTGTTTGTGAGACTATAGTTTCCTTTGAAAGATCAACTAGATTTGCAAATGGATCTTTTGATATTTTCCAAGCATCATGCATTTATGGTGGTGTGCTACGGGCAATAAGAAATAATCAGATCTAAAATGCATATAGAGATGTTGAACCAAGTTTAAAGTGGGACTACAGTTGAGTCTATACATATAGAATGCATGATTATTTATTTTTTGGTTTCAAATTAATTCATGAATTATATGTATTAGGTAAATCTCTCATGATTTCATATTGTAATTACAAAGTAAAAGGACAAGGGAATTAAAAATGAAGAATTATTACTATGAAGAATTATTGAAAATGAAGAATTATGTGTATACTGAAAGTTACGTATACATTGTGACACGGGGTTTAACCTTGAATATGAAGAATTATTAATGGATTGAATAGATCATAACTACATTGTGGTGAATTTTTATCAGTATGGAAGCGCTACATTAGTTTGTCTTAACTTTTATTTTTCATTGGTCAAAAGTGTATTAACTTGAATGTGATTTTTTTTTTTTTTTAAACTTGGAGTGCCGTAGGCACGGGTCATCCACTAGTCTTATATAAGTGTGAGATTTATATTATGTGAGTCTATACATATAGAATGCATGATTATTTATTTTTTGGTTTCAAATTAATTCATGAACTATATGTATTAAGTAAATCTCTCTTGATTTCATATTGTAATTACAAAGTAAAAGGACAAGGGAATTAAAAATGAAGAATTATTACTATGAAGAATTATTAAAAATGAAGAATTATGTGTATACTGAAAGTTTCGTATACACTATGACACGGAGTTTAACCTTGAATATGAAGAATTATTAATGGATTGAATAGATCATAACTACATTGTGGTGAATTTTTACCAGTATAGAAGCGCTACATTAGTTTGTCTTAATTTTTATTTTTCATTGGTCAAAAGTGTATTAACTTGAATGTGATTTTTTTTTTTTTTAAACTTGGGAGTGCCGTAGGCACCGGTCATCCACCAGTATATATATATATAGGTGGTAATCATATGAAGATTCTCAAAATTTCCCTCAAACTCTCTAATTCTCTCGTTGCTTTCAAATTATTTATATAAATAAAATTTTGAATTTAGTTTGGAATATTTAATTGGTCACAATGAACGAAAGGTAAAAGTGAAAATTAACATTAAGATGAGTTATATTATACCTTGACTCACCATAATATATTTTACGTATGTTTTGAGTTACCATAATTTATTTTGCGCAATTTATATTTTATAAATTATATTAATATTTCGATTACGTTGCTAATTTTCTGAACCCTATTTGCTTAAATTGAAACCCATGGATATGTTTATTTAAATTTTAATGATTAGTTGACAATGATTTCATAAGCAATTATTTTCTGTAAGTACCACCACGGGAGTTCCACGCCTTGGGAGACTTAAATAAACCATTGGTTTCTGATTGGTTATCTTATGGCCCTCTGTTTGTTATGGATCTATTGACCATTGTTCTATGATGAGCTAAGTGCTACACTATTGTGGGAACCACCCCTAGAATCCGTACGAGCCACCTCTTGAATCCATACATCTGTATTGTCATAGATCCATTGACCTCTGTTTTGTTCTGTACCGTGGTTATAGTTATATATTTTCGTATAATATCATATGATTTTTTAAACTAATTTATGTTATAATATGAGCAACTTATTTACTCTAATAGAAAAGTATTTTGTTGTATCTATTTTAAACCTAAAGCTTATCCATGGTAATTATGCTATCAATATAATATTTCTTACTCTGTTATGTGCTTATAGCGGTTTACAAATTTTCAGAAAACAATTCAGAAAAAGCTTTTGGAGAGTCGTAGACCCGGGGCTGCGGAATAGACACACATAGCACTTTTATAGTATTTACAATTCTATTATTCATATGTAAATATCGACTTTTTTGGTCAATAAATTTTGTTATAAAATAGAAACTCCGATGATTATTTTCGTACCCTCACTTAAATATTATTTTCACTCGTGTTTATTTATTTATTCAAGAATTGACTGTAGATAATTTCAGTTACTGGGCATTATGATATTTAACTTTTAGGTATGGAGAGTTGGTTGCGACAATTTAAATAAAAAGTATTGTCATGGTATTTTGTCCTAACATAAGAAGTTTATATTGAGCCATATTCATTCTGTATCATATAAATTTTGTGTCATTTTTTTATTTGTTATATCATTACTATTTGTATTATTAATAATATTAGGTACATAAAATAAAAATATATATATATAAATATATATATATATATTATTTGTCGCTAAAATACGTCTTTAGTATAACATATCATTACTCAATGGTAGTGCTCCTTGTCCAATACCAATATATAGACAACCAAACGGATTTGAAGGTTTTAAACCTAAATTTAGTTTGCATGTTAATTTACATACTTATCTACCTTTTAAATTTATGAATTTTTTTTTTCTCCTATAAGAATTGGCAAAAAGAAAATTTTGTTTTTTATTTTTTGACTAAAATATGAGATGAAAAAATCAATATATTTGGATTTTTTTTTTTTGCTTTTCACTAAAAAAACATATAAAAAATAGGAGTACGGATTTGCTAAAGTAGAAAATCTCAACTTTACAAGTGAAGTTGGTGCATTGTGAGATCAATTTGTACTTATTCCGTGATTTGAACCATTCATCTTATATGACAAGTTGAGAAAAATATATACGTAAAAAATTGGATTGATCAGACGTAAGTAATCATATGATTAAATATATATATATATATATATTCATATATATATATATATGTATTACAACAAACGGATGACTTATTTTTAAAATTATGTATTGTTATATAGATAAAAATGATCTGACGGTACGAGAATCATATTGGATCAACTTAATTTTTCTAATTAATAATTTTCATAGTTGATTGTATTAGATGAATTGTTTAAATTACTGAAGTGAGTCCAAATTAATCCTATAATAGGTCAAATCATCATAAAATTGAGATTTTAAACTTTAGTAAATCTGAACACCGTTGGTTTTTGACTAAAATCTTTACTTCCCAAATAAGCCCTATAAAATTAGCCAGGGTAAATTACATATTGCATCCCTATATTTTGTACCAAATCTCACTTTGGCCTCTTATACATGAAATTATGACAGTTAACCCCCTACACTTTTAGTCAAATCACACTTTGGTCCCTACACATGAAATTGCGATAGTCAACCCTTTGCATTTTTACTCAAATCCTACTTTAGTTCACACTTTTGGTCAAATCACACTTTAGTCCATACACAAGTTTCAATGTTCCTCATCTGTTATTTCATTTTTAAATTTTTAATAAAATCTAGTCATGTGACAAAAATGTGGTTATAAAATGAGGGTAAAAGAGAAAAATCATCAGTGTTTTCTACTAATACACTTTGTTCAATGTGATAAGTACATGAGAGTTGTATAATACAATTAATATATACACACACACACACACACATATATATATATATATATTAGTATGGTAAAAATTGGGAGAAAAAGAAAAGTAGAGTTTTTGAAATAAAAAAAAATGTGACAATGAAATCAAAGAGAAAGAAAGATGAATAGACAAAAGATTATGTTACTGTGAAAAATGGAGTTTTGTGATTTCAATTTATGTGAAACCCTAGTTCATCTTTTTTATTGTTCACAATCTGCTTTTTGTTTTAACTTAATACAGTCATATTTTGATATAAATTTTGGGATAAATTACATTTTGCACCCCTACACTTTGTATCAAATTTCACTTTGGCCCCTACACATGAAATAATGACAATTAACCCCTTACGCTTCTGGTCAAATCTCATTTTGGTTCCTACATATGAAATCGTGACAGTCAATCTCCTATACTTTTACTCAAATCCCATTTTACTCCCTTCACAAGTGTCAATGTCCCTCTTCTAACTACACCCATTATCTCACATAACTTAATTCAAGAAGCAAGCATGCCCTCAGACTTCTCTTCCATAGATTTCTTTTTTTTTTTTTTCTTATTTTTTTTCCTAAGCTGATAATGTCAAAAGCAAACGGCAATGATTTGCAGCCATACATTGGATTTGGACTCATTTTATCTGATGAATTGAGTTATATGATTTGATTGAGCTCAACACGTTCAAGACTTTCAAAGTTACAAATTTTTATGAAAGTTAGGATTTTTATAGTGAAAATTATTAGTGATGAAATTATATTATGCATCTTTAAAATTATTAATGACAAAGTTTTATTTTTTATAATAAAAATTATATATATATATATTCTATAAAATGTACGCTAAAAGAGGTGCACATCATAAACTTTTCCTCAAGTTAAATTATAGATTACAGCAATGTGCTTATAAAATATATTTAAAATTAAGGGATCACAAAATCAAATGTAGTAGAATAAATTTATTTTTATGTGTGATTCATAACAAACTAATTTAAATTTGTAATAATAATTTTATTTTTATTAATACTTTAAAAATTTTGGTATAGTTTATGCTTTCTGTTATGAGAATTTTTTTAAAGATGATGCCGAAGAAGAGGGAAATGTTTTGCGGCATTAGACTCAATATTCTAATTAATTGACTTGTATGAGTCAATTTATTTATTAATTATTTTCTTTTGAATATATTGAAAGTGAAAGAGTAATTGGACATGTGACCATTTAGTGAGGTACACGATTCCAATTGGTTATATTAGCTTAGGTGGTATTTGATAAAATTAAAAATTGAAAATTGAAAATTAAAAATTAAAAAGTAAATGTTGAATTTTTTAAGTTAAAATTGTTTAATAAAAATTTAAGTGTTAAATTGAAACAAGTTGTTTGATATATATATATATATATATGTATGTATATATAAGTTCAAATTTGAAATATATTATTTTTAAATTGTATCTTTCAATTTTATATTATGATATGGTAAGTTGGTGGTGGTAGAAGAGGCAACGGTATTAGTTATGGTGCTGATGGCAATAATGGTGAAAATGGAAAGATAGTGGTTGTAGCAATGGTGGAAAAGCAATGTTGTGGAGATTAAAAATAAATAAAAAAATAAAAAAAAGTGACAACGGCGATGTTGTGGCAATAGTTACAATAGTTGTAGAGGTGAAGGGTTGTTGTAATTATTATAGTAATAGTAACAATGGCAATGCCGACTGTGATGGCGATAACAAAATTATAATTGTTCTTACAGCAAGAATAACAATAATGATGAAGGCGATGGTGACGGGTGGCATAATGGTCATGGTGGTGGTGGTGGTGGTGGTGGTGGTGGTGGTATGTAAGTAAATTTCATATAACTTAAAATTTTCTTAACTACAGTTTACATTTTAAAAGATACTTAAATTTTTAAGTAGTATCAATTATCGTTATCAAACGAGCTTAATTGATTGTCATTTAATACATTCAGTTTTAAGTGTTAAATCAGGTTAATTTGGATGACTAATTAGGCCTAACCCGCCTATATGCCACCCCTAGGCCTTCACATCCATTCCTCTTCCCTTACACGCACACAATCCCTTCCCTTTCACTCTCAACCCCATCCTTGTAACTTCTCTCTTCCTTGTGCACACCTAGTTGTTCGTTAATACACCACGACCCCTACCCATGTAGTCGTTCCCTCTCTTATGTGTACACCTAACCTTTTCCTTACTCTCGCCACCCCTAGTCATATAACCCCCTTTCATTTCCCTTGTGTGCATTTAGTCTCTCATCATCTCTTGCGACACCCAACTCATAATCCCTTTATCTTTTCTTATGACACCTACACCCACAACCTCCACACTTGTGCTCTCTTTCGTCACTTTTATCATGTCTCTCTCTCTCTCTCTCTCTCTCTCTCTCTGTGTGTGTGTGTGTGTGTGTGTGTGTGTTTCACTTTCATTATCGTTGTTGGGAAATTAAAAAGAGGGGCTAGGGCCAGCTAGTGAGGGTTATTCGAGTGGAGTAAGTTGGTGTAGGGTAAGAATAGACAGGAGGTGGTGGCCAAAGCTAGAGAGGGACAAGGGTGGGTGGCCAGAGTTAGGGGGTGGCACTTGGAGTTGGTGGTGTGTAGACGTCATGCCTTTTTGGTTATTAGGCTCATTTTCATAAATTGCACCAAACTCTAAATCTCACATTAAATATGAATCATGTGATCTATAATGATAACAAATTATTTATCCCAAAAGTTATCAAAATAGATCGATTTATAACAAAGAGTCGCCACTTAAATTTTATAAGAAACTAATAAATCTTTTGACTTTGAAAACATAATTTAGGCACTAACCCATCATAACCAAATCTCTTGGCTCGAAAACTTACGTACAAGAGAAGAACGTCATTACATGAGCACCATTCTCACCTAATCAAGTGATTGGCCTCTACTAATATTTTATTTTATGAGATTATATGATTGATTAATTCTATAAACTCAATTATTACCATAAATTCTTTACTAACCTAATCAATTAGGTGATTGAATAAAGAAATATCATTCAAGTTAGATTAATGAACAAACCACATCAAGTCAAAGATTTTTGTAAAATAATTTGATTTTTGAAACTAAAGATGGCTTTAATATCATATGGTTATGAACTTAACCCAACTCAAACAATATCATGAAAAACACTCAAAACAACCAATTGATCATTCAAAAACACATAGAATTGAATTATTGAAAAACAATGCCTTAAATACAAACAATATGCTATGAAGTTTGAAGAAGTTACCCAGATTCCAGCACAAGACGTCAACTATGTAAAATATATATTAAATAATTTACATATGTTTCTAAACATGTTACTAATGCAAGCAACATGATGCCTAGACCCGATTTAATAGCTATTAACATTATATAAAGCAAACAAAGCAAGTAACATATGCAATCTAAGATGTTGAACATTATATGATGATTAAACTAGGCTATATGTATGATAATATTAAGATTAAACTAACCTAAATATGTTGCTAATATACACAACCTAAAACATGCAAAGCAAAGTAAAAAAACATGTGAAAAAGCTAAACCTACATGATCATGCATGCTAACTAATACCACAACCATTATCATCTATGTAAAACATTATTAAAGGAACTATATTTAAACTAAAATTAGAGGACTTACCCATTGGTTTAAGACGAACACAAGAACACAATTGAAAATGTAAGAAAGTTCGCTTGAAAGCTTCCATCAAGCTTTGACCTTGCTTTGATGCTTCTACTTCAACCCTAGATCTACTCTTAGTTGTTGGAGTTGTTGTATTACGGTAGGAATTTTGGAATTAATCAAGGTTGCACACATGCAAAACAAAGCAAAAAATATGCGAAAAGGCTAACTTGCATGATCGTGCATGCTAAATAACACCCTAACCATTATCATCTACGTAAAACATGATTAAAGGAGTTGTATTGGAACCAAAATCAGATGACTAGTTTAAGACAAACCAAAAAAACGCAACCGAAAAGGTGGGAAAGTTTGCTTGAAAGATTCTCTCAAGCTTTGGCCTTGCTTCGATGCTTCTACTTCAACCCTAGATCTACTCTTAGTTAATAGAGATGTTGTATTAGAGTATGAATTTCGAAATTAAGGCTAGGGTTTCAAGGTTGAACACTTCAAGTTCAACTAAACAACTCAAACTTACTTCAATTCTTGGTCTCCTTCAAAGAGGAGGTGACGGGTTCTTTTTATAGGCAAGGAGAGCCTTGGGGGTTAAGAAAGAAACTGCTAGGGTTTCCTTATCGCTTCCTCATTGTTCCTCTAGTCCAAAACGCAACACAGTCCAAAGAGAAACGGGATTCTAGACTGATTACCACATGTGCAACCACCTATGACATGTGCGAACGCACATGGCTAGCTTAGGGATAGGTCCAACTTCATGCAAATGTGCGGAATTTTTGATATTTAGTTTTTTTTTTTTTTTTTGATTTTTTTGGAATTGTAGAGTACAAGTTGGTATGCATTGTTTGATGTTTAATATTATAGAGCACTTACTAATGTGCTTTATGTGGTATTTGGTAATTTTCTTTTTCTTTTTATTACAGATCGTTAACAAGTATATAATATTTTTGATTTTTGCATTTTGTTCAGTGTTTACAATTTTTTTACTTGCTCTTATATTTTCATTTGCAATGTTAGTGAATATTATAAATCTTATATGTTTGTTTCTTAATTTACATTAAGGCTAAAGGGAGTTGTTATTTTATTTGAGTTTTGTAGAACGCGTAATACATGCAAAATTGTTACAAGCTCTCTAAGAAGAAAAATATTTCAATATTTTTTTTTTCAGTATCTTTGTCAAAAAATGACACAAACTTCACAAATTTCAACAACATACCTATAAATTACAATTATATTTTGATTATAACATTATTTACACCGTGCCTTTAGGCACAGACATATACTAGTATTAGTATAAAAGAGATAATAATAACATTTTTTCCCCATCTATATTACTAAAGAAGTATTGATAAAAAAGAAACAATGTGTTATGTGAAGTAAAACCTTAAAAGGTGAATTAGAAATGGGGTAAATTACACTTTGCCCCCTTTATCTTTAGTTACTTTCCTATTTTGGCCCTTAAAATTTATTCTTTTTCCACTTTGACCCTTCATTTTGCCTCCGCCAATGCCATTTAACTTGTTACGATTAGAATTATTTAGTAAGTTGTGATTCCATCCCTAAGTCCTGGGGTTGGATCGTGTCATTTTTCATGTGACAATTATTATGGCATCTTTTTTATCTAATTTTGAACAAAAATTAACTTTATGAGTAAACTGGAAAAAATTTAAAACATAAAGAGCCAAAGTGAGAAAAAATAAACTTTAAGGGCCAAAGTGAAAAAATGGTCAAACATAAAGGGGCAAAGTGTAATTTATCCTTACAAATACACTCCATGATATTCGCTTAAAATACTGATTGTCCCATATAGTTTGAAAAATTACAAATACCCCTTATTAGAAATTTTTTATTTAATAGAATTAATTGAAAAAATAAAATTTCTAACTAATTTCCTATACGATAATAAAATTATCTCAATTATATGATTCAAATATATAACCACCGATATTAAATCATTTTTTGCATAAATGTCTTACTTAACGAATTTTAAAATATGAACGATTCAAATCACAAAAATCGATTCTAAAATAAATCTACTAAATTTAAATATTTTTTCAAATTAAGATGACAATTTAAAATGAAAAAGAGGGGTACTTACGTGTAAGTCCTAATAAGTGGATTTATTGTCTAATAAGTCTTGTGGAAAAAAATGTGTCCTAAAAAAATACTAAAATATATTTATTTTTTTCATGGTACACCCTAATCAGTTATTCTTATTCAAATTTCTGTATCTTTTTCCCCAAGAAATAAAAGTTATTTCTTCTTCTTCTTCTTCTTCATCCTCCCTTCAAAACTCCAATCTACCCTACCAAAACTCACTATCATCAACATTATTGTTTTTTTTTATTGTTATTTTTAAAATCCTAAACCCTAAGAGAAAGCTTGAACAAAATCAAATAATGGATGAGAGTAATAATCAAAATAGTTTTTTGAAGTAACCCATCAAAAAGGAGGTAAGTATTCATATAAAGAGGTTTCACAATTTTTGTAGAATACCGTCAATTATTTTTTATATTGTTTTTTTGAAAAAAAATTAAAGGGTCCAGTAGTTAGATTAATAATAACATATTATTTGAGTTGTTCTTATTTTGTTATTTAAATTGTGCATTATTGTGGGGAAGTAATTTGTGAATTACAACACATGACTAAAGGTGATGCCGACGTGTCAGCCAAGGTGCCACGTGGCTTGGTCATGTTGTCGAGATGATCTCGGCTGGGCCGAGGTTATCTGCAGAGATATCAGAATCCGAGATAAGCGAATAAGAGACAAAAATCCTAGACGAAAGAGGGCTCTAGTTTGGATAAGGTTAAAGCTCTTAGGAAGTTTATCCCTATCTAGTTAAGAGTCCATGATAAAATTGAGTCTGAGTCCATTGAAGTGAAGCTTCGAAAGGGATTAGGTCACTACTAGTTATAAAAGCAGGGCACCCCTATAGGTCTTAAGTAAGTGTGATATACTATGAGGAGTAAATTCTTTCTAGTGAGTTTAAGCACTATTTGCTATCTTTGAGAGATATTGATTACTGACTTGATCGTCAGAATGCCCCCGAGTGGACAAATCACCATCCGATTCCCATCTTGTTGTGCAGGTTGTTCAGGCTTAATCTATTCTGCCGGCACTCTCTAGCTGAGTTCCCAGTTTGGTTGTGTGGTAAAAAATCAACATCCACAATTTGACGCCATCTA